TATATATCAGGGAAAACACTTGTCTTCTTTTATTAATAAATGGGCCGCTAAATTAATTGTTCAGCAAATTCGTTAATTTATTGTTAATAGTGTCGATTATTACTTTCGAAAATGACAGATCTTTAGACGTACTGAGCTATTAATCATGCTATACGCTGGTACGCGAATCGACCTGTTGCTCCAATCATATCGTACTCGGTCGGCATCGTACCACTGTCGCACAGGTGTTATAAATGTGGTCGATACTGACTGACTTGGCTGAACGACTATATAGCAGAGGGGTAAATCGACCATGCGGAAACTAACAGATCATTATTTCTAATCCTCTCAGTGTTATAACAGATATAACGATGGGGTGTCCATGCAAAACTATCCAAGTACAATATGGCAAGAGACCGCACTCAACCCAACAATGCAACGAAACGTATTATATATTCAACTACCACTCGACAAAAGTCGACTCTGGAGAAACCCCGTTTGTGCGGTTGATCGCTCATTTGCAAAGTAAATGCGTGGCTTCGGTAAGGAAAAGGCGAAATCAGTGAGGCTGGCACATTGAATACGGAAACGTCTATCTGAGAAGAAATTCAGATGTGAGACATCGGGTTGGTGCTTAGTTGCATTATGTCTACAAAAAAAAAAAACGTATTAAAAAGGACTTCTAAAGAAAATCTAAATCTGCTGAAGACCGACGCGTACTTAGTGTATTATATGCATCTTGCAAATTGTAGACGAATACTGATTGTTGGAATATGTAGGTCTGTATATATATATTGTCAAATTTGAAAATTTCTGTTGTTTTGCACGGAGGGATTTGATAAAATGCTATGAAAACTCTGGAATGGAAGACAGGCTAAATGAAATTTTCTAGGTTTTCCTTAGAAGTAAAACTCGTATTTTTAACCCTAAATTATGACTGTAAAAAAATTCTCAGCTTTGGCTGCTGCATCTTTTTTTATTTACGAAATAACAGTTGGACTATAGTTAACATACCACTGTTTTACGTGAATAGCATAGTACAAATTTGAAGTCTCTTATTAAGACAACTGATTGCTGATATCAGTAAATCGATTTCCTGCAGAATAGAGGCTACTTCGTCTTGAAAAATGTTTCTTTCAACAACAAGCGTGACAATTTTACTATTCATAAGAAAGTCTTATTTGTTTACTAGCCCCAGAGCGTACCGTTCATCCTGGCTTTTGGTTAAGTTTCAATTTCGTTTTAACCAAACACTTAAATTAGTATTGGTTTTAATATAGATTGTCAACAAGCCTAACCAAATTTTAAATGAAACGGGTCATTATTTTTTTTGGGAAAAACAGAAGGTCATACATTTTTGGCTATTCTTTCAATAACTGACTGGAATATGAATGAAAGAAACGAACGTTTTTGGAGCTTTCGAGAGCCACCTTCGTTTTTGTTAACTGAAGTGTTTTACAAAAACCAGCTATTTTTATAACTCTTCACTTACGAACAGTTTTTGCAACGCATGATTTGCTATTAATGTATTATTATTAATATTATGCAAGAATGCAGAAATAGCTACCTGAAGTCCTGCTTATGGTACGCACGACATAATTTTCGTGAATAAGGAAATCATTATATGGTGGGGGTCGTAATAAAGACGCCTACATAACCAATTGGCACAAACTGAGCTGAACACACGATGAAGCTAACCTTTTACCAGAAGGACAAATGACCTAGCAAAAAAATGCCAGCTAGGCTGAAATTACTGATAAAATGATAGTATATGACTGCTCATCTGCTTTTACAGAAGATATCAGGGAAAGCATGAATATATACTCATTAGACAACTTCTTAGATTTATTCAAAGCTAAGTCATAATCTAGATAAACCTGGCTGGATAAATCTAGATAAAACAAAGCTGACTTGTTTGCCCAGTCATATTCTCGCTTGTCTAATAGTCCTAAAGTTTAATAAGCTTGCAATATTGAATTAGAAGTATTCACATAGCATCAGGCCTACAAAATCTACAAGAGATGTCTGAGTGGCTAGTACGTCTCTCAATCTAAACTAACGTCACCAGGGCCTTTTTAACCTTTAGTTGTTTTTCGGAAATGGTACACCCCACAAGCAGCTGTCGTTTGAGGCCTCCCAATGACCTTTCAACAGGTCTATAAATGCAGCAGTAAAATGCGCAGCCTTAGGTCCAGCGCTTGGATAAGGCTATCGGAAGCAAAAAAAGCTGACACAATCATAAGTCTGCACTGTGCGTTGCATCGGGCCGTTTCGCTTAACAGCGTTTGAGCGGCGACTCATCCGATAGGAGCAGCAGCTGAGGCAGAAAGACGGCGGTAAGCTGCTGGCTGAAGCAAAATTTCAAAGAACGCGTAGGACTGACTGGGTCTGATTGTGCCATTGTTGTGCGCTCCGACGAACGATATAAACGAAAGCTTTATTAGCGTGATGTGGATATAACTGAATTACAGGTTGACAATAACATTTGCTAATGCTTTTGGGAGGGTGCGAGATAGCGCCATGTCACACGAAAAATCATTTGCGTAGCAGCCCCCGAGGAATGACCGATAACAAAAAACGAAAACAAAAGCATTAAAAAGCGCATTGACCACATCCTGGACAACAGGAAGGCAGAACCTTAAATTGAAATGTGTTGTGGAAACAGTAGAAACGAAACTTAACCTTGGTATCGATTTATATATATAATATATATATGTAAACTAAAATGGTGATATTCATCATGGCAATAATTTGTAAACTAGCGATTGAAAACAAGTACGAACGGCTACCGAAAAAACAGGGTCATAGTTTTCTAACCTTTCTCGCACGCACAGGTTATTATCGTTATTATCCAAGTGGAATAAACACTAGCGGTACTATGTTACTTTTTCAAGGCCTTACCTCGTAATGCAAACCGCTTCGTATGCAATACCTACACAGTGCTCTTTCTCTAAAGGAATGATGTGTTTTCTGCGTTGACAAATCTTCGCCGCTGAAGCTGTTTAAAAAAAAATTTCCTTTATGAAGAGGTTCCACTGACATAGACGAAGTTCCACAGCTAAGTTCTGCTGAAGTCAATCACATTAGCTTTTTTTCTTGATAGGAGCGCAGGCACGTATCTGTACTTGTAAGGCCCTAACTAATATCTATCGAACGGTGTTGGTTATAAAAGTAAGCCTTGCTTTGCCGGTATAAAAAGTTCATTGTATTATGCCTTTGGGGGTGTGTAAAGTTGGGTATTGGTCTCTCGGTAATTGGGCATTGTATAAGGCTACTGGGCTTCTGATCGATAGGCGCTACTCTTAAATGTCGTTTCGCATTTCAATTAATTG